ATAACAGCAGGAAGAGCCTGAATGAAGCTAATTGAGGCTGAATTAAGTTAATTTTCTTTTTCCTCGCCTTGACTTTGGCCACCCCGACCCCTTCCACTGGAGAACCCTAGAGACCTGTGTCTAGCCCCACGTGTTAGCAGAGGAGCACTGGCCTCAGAGTCCAGTCCCAGGGGCCTGGTGTCAACTCTAATACCACTTGTACGTTGATTGTTTTTAAAGGTATTTCTCAAGTTCTTACCGTGGGGTGTCCACTGGTGCATGGAATGGACGTGGGCCAGCTCCATGGAGCTTGTGGCCTGGCAGGAGCACAGACAGTCAGTCAGAGCTCTGTAAGGAGGGTTGTCACTGGTACTTCGAGAGAAGTATGGGGCTATGAGATGATCTGATAGGGGCCCCATCCAGGGTGTGAGAGGTTAGCCCCATGAAGAGCATCCCAAGCAGAGGAGACTCCAGAAAAGATCAGGGTTGCCAGATTGCAGCCAACGGGTGGGGTGGTGGCGAGTGAATCTGAAGGCCTCGGTAAGGATTCTGATTTTTTATTTTAGAAGAGGTAAGAAGCTCCTGAGCAGTTTTGAGCGGAGTGTGCTCTCACTCTCTGATGATCAGATTTTCATGTTAGAACTATAACTTTGGTTGTGGTGTGGAGAGTGGCATGGAGACAACAGAACAGGAATGGCGTTGCATGAGTCCAGGTGAGAGTTAATAGTACCTTGGCCCAGGTGCTGGGGGCGGGCTGGGGGCTGAGGGGGTGACCTAGGAGCCCAGGCCTTCTGCTTCCCATTTTTCACTCTGTAGATTTCTGAGCTTGCATGGGCTGGCCCTCAGCTCCATGCTGCCCTGACATCTGCTGCTGCAGGAGGAAAAACTGTGGCTTTTGTAGCTCAGACACCAGGACCTGCAGATGGAGTGGCAGTCTGAGGTCTCAGGCAGTGAGGTCCCCAGGTGTGCAGAAGTGGCACCCCAGGTTGTTAGGGAAACCTGAGCCAAATTCAGACTCTGCCCTGTGCTTCCTTCCCCAAATGGGAGGTTGGGTTGTAAGCCTGGGTGCTCAGGAAATTTGTGAATGATTAAATGAATGAGCTATTTTATAAACCTGGTCCAATTTATTCCCACATCATTGCCTTGTGGAATAAATGTGTGCTGACTGTTTGAATGAATGAATGAATGAATGAATGAGGAATGCAGTCCTGCCTAGAAGGTCCTCACCGATCCTCTTAAACGTTCCTTGGTGTTTAAGTTCCTTGGTGTTTAAGTCCTTGGCTCTTAGAAGCCTAAGTCCTGTGAGTGATTCATCTCTGCCTTCACCCGAGTCAATGGAAGGGTGCTTGTGTTAATTCAAAATGGCCCATGAGCCAAAGCTAGGAGTCCCTGGGTTATTTTTGGCTGCAGTTTACTCAGGATGAACTTTGAACTAGTCTCTGTTCCACAAGCCACACTTGGACTGATGGACAGCTGGGCCAGGGCTTGGAGATGTTCCAGGCACAGAGAAAGCTATGGGGGCATGTGATTCTGGGGTCACAGTGGGCCTCTGCCCTGTGGAAGGTGGAGGGAGGCTTGCAGGATTTCTGTTTCTGACACTTCCTGAGAGGGAACAGAAAAAGAGCCGGTAGCTTCTACATTTTCAGGTGCGGGTCGGATACGATGCTAAATTTATTGCTCTAGTAGTTGTTTACCACCTGGTCTAGCCCCTGAGAATGTGATCCTTGAGGACATTTGGGAACCAATTTTCCTTTGAAAGCCTGGCCTAGTGGAATACCATTATGAAACATCTTTGGTTTTCTTAGAAAAACCCCAGAGCAGGAGGGGTGAAGAAAGGCCAGCACTTTTAGTCCTCACGATGACACATCAAGGTATGTAGTATTATCCCCGGTTTTCTGGTGGGAAAACAGAGGCTGTCAAGGTTTATAATGATGTGCTGAGGTCATGGAGCTGGTGTAGATTTGGGTTCTGGATTTGTCTGCTTCCAGGGTCTGTGCTTTTCCCATCTACCCAAGCCAGACCCAGGTATTTAGAGTCCCACCTCCTGGCCGGAGGAGGAGATGGTGCCCCCTGCTTTACCATTCATGGTGGGTGTGGCTTTTGGAATAAGCAGTCAGCAACTCGGCTCAAATTCCAGTCTTCCCCAGAAGATAGGGAATTTAATGCACTGAGCACCTCTGTAGCTTTGCCTCATCTGGAGGGAAACAAGCTCCAGAGTGTGACTTGCTCAAGGTCACACAGCGGTGAGAGGCAGAGCTGGATTGGAGCCCAGGTCTGTCCTAGTCTCCTCCTTCCTTTGGTTAGGGGAAGGGCGTGGCCTGAGGAATGTGGCTCTGGCTCCTTTGGGTGTGGGGGGGGTGGGGGGCTGCAGAACCGCTGACGGGGGTGGGGGAGGGAGAAATCCCTTTGCTCACTTGACCCCTCAGGATCTTGGGTGACTTGGCCCCTGCCCCCGTCTCTCCCTCCAAACCGCACAGGCCCCTTTCTGCTCTTCCTGTTCTGGGCCTTTGCACGTGCTCCTCTCTGCCTGGAATGCCCTTCCCAGCTCTTAGACCTCTTTCAGCTGTTGGTCAGAGGTCACCTCCTCATAGAGGCCCTCCCTGACCCCCTGGTTCCTTGCTCGTGTTCGCAGTCACCATCTGTGATTATTGTGTTTAGTTCCTGCCTGTGTCCCCCGCTGGAGGTCAGCTGCAAAACTCACGGTCTTGGTCACTGCTGTATCTCCAGGGTTGAGATGGCATCAGAGATGCTGTGGGTCCTCCATAAACCTTGTAGAATGAACGAAGGACCTGCCTGCACCGTCCTGTTGTGTGTCCTTCCTCCAAGTCTCCCAGGCTGGCTCTTTGAGCCTCCAGGCTGTCTCCAGTGAGAAAGAAAGAAGAGTGGTCCCCGACTCTCAGCGTCAGCATTTTGTTCTCCTGTTGGGTATAAACAGGCTCACAGAACAGCAGCCTTGGAGCAGCCTCGGACTGTGTTACCCTGAGACCGTGGTGAAATGAGACACAGTGAGCCCACTTCATAGTTGTGTCTAAGCAGACAAAAACAGGTCACTGTGCTGTCTACAAAGTATCAGACACCCCTCTTGCTGCATGAGGGACTGCTGCATCTTTGCTCAATCATAGAATTGCCCCCACTTTCTGACAGCTTCTAATCCAGAGCAAACCTGGCCTTCCTTAAACCTGCACATCACCCACCCAAAGCCCAAATCCTACAATAGGTTTTTTCTTTTTTTTTTTTTTAAAAAGATGACCGGTAAGGGCCGGCCCGGTGGCGCACTGGATAGTGCGCCGCTTGGGAAGCGCGGCGGCGCTCCCGTCCGAGGGTTCGGATTCCGCATACAGACCGGTTCCCGCTCACTGGCTGAGCGAGGCGCGGGAGCAACGCCGAGGCTTGCGATCCCGTTGCCGGTCCCCGGTCCGGTACGGGGGCAACACTGAGGGTTGCGATCCATTGCCGGACCCGGAAAAAAGACAAAAGACGCCAAAAAAAAAAAAAGATGACCGGTAAGGGCCGGCCCGGTGGCGCACGGGATAGTGCGCCGCTTGGGAAGCGCGGCGGCGCTCCCGTCCGAGGGTTCGGATTCCGCATACAGACCGGTTCCCGCTCACTGGCTGAGCGAGGCGCGGGAGCAACGCCGAGGCTTGCGATCCCGTTGCCGGTCCCCGGTCCGGTACGGGGGCAACACTGAGGGTTGCGATCCATTGCCGGACACGGAAAAAAGACAAAAGACGAAAAAAAAAAAAAAAGATGACCGGTAAGGGGATCTCAATCCTTGGCTTGGTGTTGTCAGCACCACGCTCAGCCAGTGAGCGAACCAGCCATCCCTATATAGGATCCGAACCCGCGGCCTTGGTATTACCAGCACCGCACTCTACTGAGTGAGCCACGGGCCGGCCCCTACAATAGGTTTTTTCTACCACCACTTTACTGAGACACTCTGGTTCCCCGTGGTGTGTGTTCTCCCTCGCTGAGACCACCAGTAAACCCAATTTGTCCAACTCCAGTTCTGTTCCTGGTGGTCTCTGGCTGGGAATGTTAACACCAGAGGGAGATGATATCTGGGTTTCTAGACTCAAATCCAGGTTCCTCCTAATCTTGATCTGGAACTAGTCATTCTCCTTTTAGGAACCTAAATGACCTTATTTCTCTCAGGGGGCGGCTGGTGAGGCCCATCCTGTGCCATTGTGGGTGGGAGGCTTTGCCAACACCAATGGGCCCCTCGGACAGTAGAGGGGCTTTGTAGTCACTATTGTCCTCATTCACAGAGGAGGAAACGGAGGCCTGCAGGGGAAGTCCCACAGCTGGGAGGTGGCAGAGCTGAGGCTGACCCCAGAGTCCCGGCTCTGACCCGCCTATCCTCCCACCTCATGACCCTGAGACACGGTAGGGGGTGGTGGTCACTAGTTACTGAGGTCATAAGATTCAAGCAGGGAGTTCTTGAAACTCAGTACCCTGGAATCAGACACCGAACCCCCAAACCAGCTCTCCTTGTTGCTGTGAACTGAGCTCAGGGCAGGCCTGCAAGGTCACAGTCTGCATCTTGGACAGTCCTGCTCGCCAGAGCTCTCTTTGGCAGTTCTCTGTCAGCCAAGAGAATCTCAGCGCGTTCACATTCTCAGGAGACTCAGCTCTGGAATGTGCTGCCTATTCAGCTTGGGTGTGTTTGGGGTAAAGGCTGCCGTGTGGGAAATAAAGAGAGAGTGACCCTTTACATGTGCAAGGTACTTAAACATAAGGTTTTGCATCTGCGCCTTTAAACTTCAACCACGTGAGCTTGGTATGATTCTTCTCACTTAATAAATGTAGAAACAGGCTCAGAGGAGGCAAGTCACAGGCCCAAGGACACACAATGGCAGGACTAGGACTTTTGGCTTTTGGACCCCAAGCAGGTTCTTTCCCCTGGTTCTTACAGTTGCTATGGAGTTCAGGCTCTGGGTCCCTGTCAGAGACAGAGGGGTTGGGCCTGGGGGAGGTGGCCGTTGCTGACCTGTCTGCGTCTGTCCCCTGCTGTTGTGCCCCAGGCTGCGGTGGAAGCACCCCTCCCCACTGAAGGTGGCCAACGAGCCAGTCTTGGCATTCACACAGGGCAGCCCCGAGCGAGACGCATTGCAAAAGGTAACAGGAGGGTGGGGGGCATCCAGAGGGTGTAGGACATGGAGACAGCCCCAGCAGCCCTCAGATCCCTCTCCATGCCTATAGCCACGACCCTAACCCTGACCCTAACCCCTGTTCCCAGCTTTGGGAGGCAGCCTGGGGTTGGGGGACCACTATTGGTCTGGAGGGTGAGAGAAGCTGGGGCAGCAGGGTGGCAGCCTGGGGACACTTGGGGCCTCTCAGGCCAGGTCAGAGGTCGTAAGCCTAGATGTATTGAAAATATTTTCCAGTTGATTGCCAGTATTTAAAATATGTGATTTCACATACATTTCAGATGCAGTTTTTTATCTTTTTGTAATGGGAAGACCTGGCAACACTGGCTTCACCTTCTTGCAGGTGACAATGGCTAGAGCTGAGTCCTGCTGTCCCCTTCTTGTTTATGTGTCCATGTGGGCAGCTCTGTTTGCAGACTCCGTATCAGGGTTTTAGGTGGGAGGAAGAGGAGAAGGAAGTGCCCATCTGCCCTTTGTCCCTTGCCAGGCCTTAAAGGACCTGAAGGGCCGGACAGAAGCCATCCCGTGTGTGGTGGGGGATGAGGAAGTGTGGACATCGGACGTGCGGTACCAGGTGTCGGTGAGTCCAGTGGGTGGGCAGGCTTTGGCCTCTCCCGAGTCTGTGGTCTCCCTCTCTGACAGCTCATAAGCATATAACACGTGGTCTCCACCTTCATGGGGTTTATGGTCCCCTCCCACATTGTGGATTCCGTGGGCCAGTAAAGATTCCAAAAGCAGAGGGCCCTGCCCACACTGTGCCCAGCCCTTAACTGCATCCTGTCCACAGGCAAGAAAGACCATGAGGAGTCCACACAGCATTTTATTATTCCTGATGGATTTCGCCACATGGGGGCGAAGCTATGGCAGAAAGTAGGGCCCCAGACCCTGTGCTCCTCAGGTGACATTGGCCTAAAAAACCCACCTGCTCAGAGTTTATCCATCCAGAAACTGGCATATACTTCACATGGACCAGGACACTCATAGGTCTATAATTTGAGGGAGAGGTGAGTGAGGGTGGAGGACCCAGGCCTCCCACTGTGAGGGTTTCAAGGGCAGCCAGGAGCAGCAGTTGTCCACAGAGGTGTCCTGGATCCCCTACTATTGGATCAGGACCAGAGGTCCCGACAGCTGGAGCTGTTGGAGCATGGCCTGGGGTCTGCAGGCTTCCAGCCAGTTCTCTTGCACCAGGTGTGTGCCCAGGTGCCAGCTGAGGGCAGCTCCCACGACCTGCTCACTGGCCTCGTCTCTGACTGCCTAGAACCTGCCCTCACCTGCAGCTCCCCTAACCTCCGAGGCCACTGTGGCACCTGGGATTTTTCCAGGCAGTGACTCCAGCTGGATGTTTTGGCCACATGGTGATCCTTGTAGCCTGACATGTGGGGTAGTGGCAGGTGTGAGGGTGGGATCTGTGTTTGCTGGGGCAGGCTCAGTTTGAAAGCTCTAGGTCCTAGGCACTGTCTTGGACCCTAAGCGTCACAGGCCCATCTCAGGCATGGGCAGGATACAGGTGACTGTGCCAAGGGTTAAAATGACGGGAAAAGGCCACTTTCTACTCAGACCTAGACCAGCACTTTCCAACAGAACTTTCTGTGGTGAGGATGGTGATGTGCCCTATCTGCAGCCACCAGCCACGTGGGGTCACAAGCACGTGAACGTGGCTGTGGCTGCCGTGTTAGACAGGAAAGTGCCAAACAACCCAGTGGAAGACTAACAGGTGGCCAGAGTGTTGACAGCTGTGGCATAAAATGATACGTCGCCAGCCCGGGGTAGGGAAGAAGGGGCGCTTCTCACCACTGCTCACGCTAGCGTTCGGTGCTTCCCGGCTCCTTTTGCAAATGTTCCTTGAAGATCTTTCCATTTGTATGAGTAAATCTGGGTCTCATGCAGAAGGCTCAGGGAGCAGGTGCTCTGTTCTGTAATAGCTTTGGGGGATGGCAGAAGTCCCGAGCATTTCACGACACCAGCGTGTCATTTTGGGCCTCGCCTGGTGACGGCACCCATTACTGAGCTGCACCCTCGTGCCAGACCTGGTTTGGAAGTATTTTCATTGGGGATGCCATTGGTCCTCCTCGCCGTGCTACAAGGCAGGGGGCACAATCCCCATTTTCCAGACGAGGAGGCGTGGAGGAGGGAAGTGAACTTCCACAAGGCCCCACAGCTAGTAGGTGGGATTTGAACCCGTGTCTGTCGGACCATGAAGTCCATGCTTACCCTGAAAGACCATGTGGCCCATGCCTTTCTCCTGGGCTGTGAACCTTCTAGAGCAGGAACCATGTCTTACTCATCTTACAGCAGGTGCTCCATGACCTCAAGAGAGAGAAATCGGTGGGGCTGGGCCACTGCAGAGGGCTCTGTGGGGAGCCAGAGAGAGAGTGAGCATGTCCAGGACTTTCCTGGAAAACAAGCTCTGAGCCTGGCCCTGTCCTCTCCAGTCCTGGTACCTCCCTCCTGGGCAGTGACCTTACCCTTTTCTTCTTCCAGCCCTTTAACCACGGACACAAGGTAGCCAAGTTCTGTTATGCAGACAAGGTGAGTGAGTCCCCGGAGACTGGGTTGGGGTTGCTGCCCCTGCTCTGGCCTGCCCTGCCCTCTGAGATGCTGCTGTGGAGGTGGACATCAGTCGCTGCTTCCTTCTTTGGCCATGGGGGGTGGGTGGGTAGGGGCGCTGGTGCTGAGGAAGTCCTTGGGTGATGTCTTTGACAGGGCCAGGCATGCAAGGCTTAACTTGAGCCAAATGACAGCTGCCTTGGCCAGGACCAAGACATCCCCAGACATGCTGATTGCTGTGAGGCAGACCGTGGTTTGGGGATGAGATAGATCCTGGAAGGCTGAGTCAGGGCAACTGGGAACACCTTAGATGGAAAGCCAGGCAGGGAATTGGCATCGAAGGGGCCAGCAGGACAGGATGGGGTGATCCATAGCACAGGGTCTAGGAGTTGGTGTCATGTGGTGATGATGGGGCAGGGGGTGTACCTGCCGGCAGCAGGTATTTTTCAGGTTGAGGTTCTGACCTCAAGGGCAGGAGGCTCTGGATGGTGGGTTCAGGAGCACCAGGTCCCAAGAATAAGGTGAGGCCTTGTTAGATCATGAGAGAAAAAGTGGAGCAGGCTTAACAGCTGAGGGATTTGATGCCAAGTCCTTGGCGTGCTTGCCAGCCTGGCAGTCCCTTGGACTTTAGACTGGCAGCAAGACAGTCTCTGAGCCTTGGGCAGCCCAGCTGGCCATGGGACACAGTGTCTGCAGCTGTGGGGATGAGGGGGCTGAGGGCCAAGGGAGCCAGGGGTCTTCCCTGGCTGGGGTGAGTACTGGCCTTCCAGATCTCTGCTCCCTCTCCTGGGGCCCTTCCTGCTGCAGGAGGCAGCTCCAACCTTTCCTGTCTCATCAGGCTCTGCTTAACAAAGCCATCGAGGCTGCCTTGGCCGCCAGGAAAGAATGGGACCTGAAGCCTGTTGCAGACCGAGCCCAGGTCTTCCTGAAGGCAGCTGACATCCTGAGTGGGCCACGTAGGGCTGAGATCCTCGCCAAGACCATGGTGGGACAGGTGAGGCGCCTGTGGCCCTGGTGGGGTGGGAGTTCCATTTTGGCAGATGTCAGCCAGACAGCTTCTGGGTGCCAAGCCTTGTTGGGGACTGAGATATTCTCAAAGGACAAGGCATAGGAGCAGGTACAGATGAACAGAAATTGCTAGACAAGGCAGGTTGTGCTAAGCCCATGGGTCCTACTGTGGCCCCTTCATCTCCTCTGCCCCTGCTCCAAGGCTTCTCTGTCCTTCCTGGCCAGGCCGTCCCATCCTGCCTGGGATGGAGCCAGTTTGGACTTAGCAGGACTCCCTGGACACCGCAGGCATCCTCCCTGCCTCTGTCCAGTGTGCCACTGCCTGGAATGCTTGCACTCTCTTCCCTGCCTGGTGAACTCTTACCACCTGATGCAGCCCAGATACCACCTCCTCCATGAGGCTTCTGGAACCTTCTCAGTCCAAAAGGATTAGTCCCATGTCTGTTCTCCCATAGCATGGTGATCCTTGGTCAATCACTGCTTGGATCCCATTGGGGTAGATTGGATTCTTATGTACTTATCGCCCCTTTACAAGCTTTTAGGGCATAGTGATCATGTCTTGATATTCGTGGTTGCATGCTCTTTAAGGAGTCTAGAAAGCTCCTGATAATGGCTTTGGAGTGGATGCATGCTGAGTGAGAGTGGCACTAGCAGGGTGGAGTGTGCCAGGGGAGGGATCCGAGCCTTAGGGTGCCAGCCGATTGGGCTCCCGAAGGGCACATCATAGAAGCCCAAACCTGGGCTCTGCCTGTTTACTCCTTCCCGCTCCTGTCCCCATGGTTAGAGCGCCCCCTGCTGCATGGAGGTGGTATGACAATTTCACACCCCGTCAAATGCCTCATTTGATGGGCTCAGCCACCCTCTGGGTGGGCGTCTGGCTCCGAAGGGTTCTGGGTGAGCCACACATTGAGCAGAAGACACGCACACACATGCTCTAAGATAAGGTCAAGTTCCTTCTTTATTTGGCTTGAGGATCAGGAGCTTCTAGGAAGCACTGTACACATCTCTGCCCAGCTTCCTCTGCTTGCGACCCAAATGGGGTGCACACTTGGCAGTGACCCTGTGTGCCAAGGAGTGGCCTGCCCAGATCTGGAAAAGCCCCATTCTTGAGGCCCAGAGTCCTTTCCCCTTGGCTAATGTTTGCCATCAGGAAGAATAGACAGTTTCAGGGGATCACAGTCATTGGCCTCCTGGTTCTTGGCCCAAACTAAGTAGGGAGGCTGAGTACCCATCCCAGGGGAAGGAGCTGTCTGCATCCTGTGCACAGTATCTCTGCCCTGGTTCAACGGTGGCGGGTCCCCCACTCATGCTGAAAACCACTCACGATGTACCCTTTATCTGAGAGGCTCTGCTCCTGAGTTTGGTCTAAGGATCATGATCATAGATCCAATCCCGGTTACCACCATTCAGGGTTGCTGTGAGACTAAGGCAGTGATGTGAAATGCCTGGCCCAAAGCAGGGGTCAGTAAATGCCGCTGATCCCGATCCTGCCCAGGGGGCGATAGGCTGACAGTGGTCGCTCAGCTACTTGAGAATCGGTTTCCTTTCTCTCCTCAGCCCCTGGGATGGGGCTGGTCAGTCCACTGAAGGTTCCCGGTTTCTGCTGGGCCCACTTGGCACTCGCCATGGGCACAGGGTTGGATGTGGGAGAGGCATGCCGCTTCCACTGATCCCCGGCCACCTGCCTTGCAGGGTAAGACGGTGATCCAAGCAGAGGTCGATGCTGCGGCTGAACTCATCGACTTCTTCCGATTCAATGCCAAGTTTGCCGTGGAGCTGGAGCAGGAGCAGCCCATCAGCGTGCCACCCAGCACCAACAGTGTGGTGTACCGGGGGCTGGAGGTACCCATGGTGGTGGGGGCGGTGGGGGCTGTTGGAAGCCTCAGGCTTGGCCTCACTGCCACCTCCTTCCCAGGGCTTCGTGGCGGCTATCTCACCCTTTAACTTCACTGCGATCGGTGGCAACCTGGCGGGGGCACCGGCCTTGATGGTGAGACATGGGTCCAGGTGGGGATAAAGGCGGCTAGTCATTCTCATAGTCCCAACAGACAAAAGGCCACACTGTACCCCTCGGGTCCCAGCCCTTGTGGGGGGAAGTGCAGAAGGTGGAGGCAGCCTGGGGCCATAGATAGGCTTTGGAGTCAGAGACCTGATTTGAATCCCAGCTTTGTCCCTCTCTGGGGGGGGGGGGGGGGCAAGCCCCTGGACTTCTCTGAGGCAGTTTCCTCATCTGCAAGGTGGAAGTAATAGCAAAGCCTGTTACAGGGTTTCGAGGATCAAATGAGACACGTCTAACCCCAGGCAGGTGTGGCCCCGAGTGGGCTTAGTACAAGTGCACTTCAAAAAGTTCATGGAAACATGGAATTAAAAGATAATACAAGTTCTCCCATGAACTTTTTGAAGTACCCCCGTATATGGCGACTCTGTTTACGATGATAGTTATCGCCCACTTTGAGTGCTCCTTGTGAGCCTGCCACTGTTAGGTACTGGATGTAGATGACCTCATTAATTCTCTCAACAGCTCTGAGGGGGGTCTGTGGTTGTGGCTCTTTGCCAGATGGCGGAACTGGCACACACAGTGGTGACTTGTTTGTCAAGGTTCCATGGCTAGTAAACAATGAAACAGAGAGGGATTTGGACTTGGTCTGTCTCAGGGCTGGGCTCTGCTGCCATAATCAGAGGGAAGGGGGCTGTCACCATATGAGCTCCCAGTCTTACGGGGAAGACTGCAGCCCAGCCCTCAGGCAGCCTGGGCAGGAGGAGGGCGGACATGGCCATTGGGAGGCCTGGGCCCCAGATGCCGTAGCTGGACACTGATGTCCAGGTGTGTGCCACGTACCTGCACGGGGATGTCCTTGTGCATCTGCGAGCAGACAGATGCAGCATGTGCCCAGGTGCCCACGTGCCCTGACCTAGGACACGTGCAGAGAGAGCCTGTGAGCACTTGCCTAGTTGTGTCTAGTGAGCACCTAGTGACTCGGAAACGTGAGAACAGACCTGCCTGGGGGTGATGGCAGGACCAGTTGGTGCAGGCTCCTAGAGAGAGGGAGCCCTGGCCAGAAAGTGCAGGAGACAGGGCTGGGCTGTGGCCTCGTCAGCAAGGGCTTTTGGAGCACGGTGCCAGACACTTGGAGGAGTGAGGTTGGGTAGGGGACATCCTGGCTGGCACAGGGCCCTTGTGGCTCCAGTGAGGGATGACCATGCTGTGGGGTGGGGAGGGGTTGGGGCTGATGGCCTGTGGCCTCATAAGTCATTGTCATACCTCCCGGGCAGGGCAACGTGGTCCTGTGGAAGCCCAGTGACACTGCCATGCTGGCCAGCTATGCCGTGTACCGCATCCTCCGGGAGGCTGGTCTGCCCCCCAACATCATCCAGTTTGTGCCAGCTGATGGTCCCACATTTGGGGACACTGTCACCAGCTCCGAGCATCTCTGTGGCATCAACTTCACAGGCAGTGTGCCGTAAGTCCCTGGTGGGGCGGGTGGTTAGAGAAGTTCACCAGGCAACCTCTTGTCACCTGCTGTCTGCCCAGGGGCCGGGGCTGTGAACCTACACTTGCTGTGTGGCCGTGGCGAGCCACTTCACCTCTAGCAATGCCTATCTTGCGAAATAATTGTGAGGATCAAATGAGTTAAGGAACAGGAAGAGCTTTGTAGGTTGGAAGTACAGCCTACAGATGTTGGACAATACTGATTTCAATGCCATCTCTGCCACTGGAAAGGGCACGAGGGAGCTTGGAATGAATTGGAGGAGGAGTCAGGAAGGCTTCTTGGAGGAGGTGGCATCTAAGCAGAGGAGTTGGCCAGGCAGAGGGGAGAGGGCATGGGAAGAGTGTTCTAGGAGAGGGACTAGCACACAGGGAGACCTCCAGGCAGCATGTGTGTGCTTTAGTGGGTGGCGGGGTCCCATGGGGCTGAAGTGTGGAGTTCAGAGGCTGAATGGCAAGAGGGTGAGGATGGGTATCATGGTTCAAGATGAGGCAGGAAAGGCAGGCAGCTGCCGAGTCCGACTGTTCATTCACTCACTGATTTAGCAGGTGCACATGGTCCCCGACTTAATGACAGTGGGACTTAAAAGTTTTTGACTTTATGATCGAGTGAAAATGAAACACATTCAGTAGAAACTGTACTTTGAATTTTGAATTTGGATCTTTTCTTGGACTAGCGATAGATGCGTGAAATGCATTTTCGAGTTGCAGTGGGTTTATCAGGATGTAAGCCCATGGTAAGTTGAGGAGCATGGCTGCGCTGGGCTGTGTGCTGTGCTAGGGTTCAATTGTGAGTGAACACGATGCATAAGGTCCCAGCCCTTGGGGTATTTGGTCCAGGGCCTATAAGACCCTTATGTGTCTGTGGAGGTGTCTGCTCATTTTGAAGGTGACGGGAGCCACGGAAGGTTAAGCGGGAGGAGCAGCTTAATCAGAGTTCTGTTTTAGGTGGATATTACAAACGATGGCCTTAAATTGGTAGTGATGGCCCAACTTTGTATAACTGAGACAATTTCATATAAAATCCAGATGTTGGCTCCTCTTGAGAACCTGGATGCTCTGGTCATCTGAGCCTGCATCTCCCTGTGGCACCGTTGGCTGGAGGTGGGCAGGTGCTCTGGGTCTCTGCATACAAGGTCCACCCCTTTACTTGTCCTGCCTGGCTCCTCCAGGCCCCTGTGTCTGCACCGTCTGTCGTAGATGATCGCTCTGGCTCCTGTGTGGTCTCTGGCCGGAAGCAGGAGACTGGTTAGGATGCCGTCGCCATCCAGGCAGCGGTGTTGGGGCTCGAACCAGGGTAGAGACTGTGGGAATATAGAGAAGGGGACAGATTCAAGCGGGAAGGTAACAGGGAGGTGCAGTGGTGCTTACCTGGCCACAGGGCGGGATTGGGGTCGGGGGGAGGGAGCGAGCAGGAAGCCCAGTCTTTGGGCAGAAGGGGCATTGTTCACCAAGGTGGGCACCCGGAGGTGAGCAGCTGGGGGGAAGATGAATCGCATGTTGGTCACTTTGGCTTTGAGGTGCCTGTGGTCACCTGGGTGGCGATGTCTGGAGGCGGCCTGATGTCCGGGTCTGCAGCTTGGCATCCTTCCAGGTGTCCCCTAGGACACTTGTGGTGGCTTCTCACCTCCGCTGCCCAGCCTCAGGCTCTGCCACCCCCTTCCCTGCCAAGGTTTGCTGGGTGGCCATGGCAGCGTTAGAATTGCTGAGGAGGGCCGTTTTCCAAAAGGCCTGCTCTGCCAGCCGCGGGCCCCCCGGGTCCTTGCCTATTAGCGGGTGGAGCGGGCCTGGCCCCTATTTGCCATGCTCTGATGAGCAGCGGGCTTAAAGGTAGGAAAGCCATAAATTAGTATTAGCTACTGTGTCGCTGGCTCCTGGGTGATTAGCATTTTTATTGTTTTGTGGTGCTGAGGTTGGTCACACTCCGAGCCTGGGGAGGAGGCGAGGACCTCCAGGCAGCAGCTTGGGGTGGGGGCCTGAGTTCCCTCTCTCTGGACCCTCCTCCGTTTGGCCTCTCAGGCCTGGGTGCTGGGCTGTGGTTGCCTGTTGCAGACCTTGGCTGTCTCTGTTCCCCAGTAGGCACCTGTGGTGTGCCGAGCATGGTCCTAAGCCCTTAACTCACATTAGAGATAATCACAAACCCCTGCCAGGTGGAGATTGTTCTCTCTAGTTCCCAGATGAAGTGCAGAATTTGAGGCTCAGAGAGGTTAAGTAATGAGCCTGAGATCACACAGCTCTGTGTCTGGGGCAGAATTGGAATCCAGTACCTCCTGGCTTCAAACCTGGACCTTCTGTGCACATAGGGCTGCCCACCCTCCCTCCCCACAGGCCTGGAATGCGGCCTGCTCCCAGCTGCCAGCACCTGCTGGACTGCTGACCCCAGTGCTCCTCCCTGGGCTTCTCGGCCCCCTTCCTCTGGTAGGGCCTGCTCCCAACCCACGGGACCCTCACCCTCCCAGGTGCCTGAGCCCGACTCCCTGATTCCTACCCTGTCCTCCTCTGGTTCCAGCACCTTCAAACACCTGTGGAAGCAGGTAGCCCAGAACCTGGACCAGTATCGCACATTTCCACGCCTGGCTGGAGGTAAGGGCCTCTCTCCCCAGCCTCCCCTTCCCTGGGGCCTTAGGAACCCCTCCTCTGCCATCCTGAAAGAGGAGGAGATGGAGGTGTTGCAGCCACAGATCAGGCGGGATGAACTGTCTTGGGCAGCAGCACCGTCCAGTAGAGCTTCCTGCGACGATGGATGAGTCTGTAACTGTGCCCTCCAGTAAGAAAGCCACCAGCCACATGTGGCCATTGAGCCCTTGAAATGTGGCTAATGTGACTGAGGAAGTGAGTTTTTTGTTTTCTTTCATCTTAATTAAATTACATTTCAATGGCCGAGTGTGGCTGGTGGCTCCTGTGGTGGACAGCGCAGGCCTAAGCAGGGGAAGGTGCAGATGCGAGGCCACGAAGTGGGAATGAGCTTGTGTTTGAAGGAACAAAGCGGGACCAGTGTAGCTGGAGGAGGGATTGGGGAAGGGTGGCAGGAGATGGGGCTGAGAGGTCTCAGGGCCAGATCTTGTAGACATACTACAGTTTTCCCACAGGGAAACAGTTTCATGGTCAAGGAAATTTGGCATGTACCGTGTTAGAGCAAAATGGATTCCTCTCCTGCAGGACTTCTCAGAGCCTTTAATGCACTAATAGGCACTGCCCATCTTCAAGGGCAAGGTCTGCCATGCGTTGTTTCCCAAACTCATTGGGTCACAGAACCCCATTTTTGCAAAGGCCCATAGGCCAAGTGTTTTGTGGAACACACTGCGGGGACACTCCGAGACCTAGAGAGAGAAAGGGCTGCCGGGGTTCACACGGCACACTAACAGCAGGGCTGAGGCTGGTTCAGTGTCCTCACACCCAGGGGTGAGGTGGGGCCCATGGCGAGTCTGGACCCCATTCCTGACTGGTGGGAGCTTTGATGGGAGTGTCAGGAAAAGTGAGCCCACTTCAGGGTCAGATGTGGCATGTCCAGTGTCCAGTCCCCAGGGCACCCCGGTGCCACCTTTGTGAGATACAGAGCAGTGAGCCCCTGTGTGGAGCTGTGTGTGGTTTTTTGCAGAGGCTCCTTCCCACCCTCTCTGAGGGAGAGAGACCACTGTTTCCCACTTCTCAACCAGGAGCATTTAACTTCGTCTCTCTGTGCCTCAGTTTTCTTGTCTTTAAAATGGGAATAATAATGGGAGGTTGTGAGGTTCAGTGAGACAAAGCACAGGTGCCTTCTAGAGCCTGGCCAGTGGGAAGTGCTCTCAGCTGCTGTTAGCTGACATTTCCCACAAGTGAGGAAACTGAGGCTGGGAGGGTGCAGTGACCTGCCTGAAGCTCCCTCATGCTAAGGAAACTGGGGAGTGGCTTCTTGCCATGGTAGGGAGGAGGAGCCTGGCCCTGGCAGTGGACATGGGGTGGACTCCCCTCTCCCCTGCTGGGCAGGAGGCAGGGGAAGCCTCAAAGAGAGCTCTGCCCACTTCTGGGAATGGACTGCTCTTGGGAGCCTTGGATTCTGGTCCTTCATCTGCCTTTGTTGGGCAGTCTCAGTTTTCTCATCTGCATCATGGGGAGTTGGGTCTGATGACCTCCAATGCCCTTCACCATGCTCTGAGCCTCAGTTTCCTCGTCTCACACTCTGTAGAGTGGGAGAACAGACTGGCTTATTGGTTTCTGGGACATTGTCCGGTCCTCACTCTGTGCCTCCTCCCGCTGTCGTCTGCTCAGTGCTGGTGGCTGGTCATGGGGCCCCGTGATGAATGTAGAGGGTGCTTTGGGCCCCTGGGCCTTTGGGGCAGTCCGCCCTCCAGCCATTTCCCCACCTGGGTCCCTGTAGAGTGTGGCGGGAAGAACTTCCACTTCGTGCACTGCTCGGCCGACGTGGACAGTGTGGTGAGTGGGACTGTGCGCTCAGCCTTCGAGTACGGCGGCCAGAAGTGCTCAGCCTGCTCGCGCCTCTACGTGCCGCGCTCGCTGTGGCCGCAGATCAAAGGGCGGTTGCTGGAGGAGCACGGCAGGATCAAAGTGGGCAACGTAAGTGGCGCCTTGGTCCCCTGCTGCGGCGCAGCGGGTGGCTGATGGGATTGGGTCCCTGGGAGGCTTCTGCAAGTGGGGCTGGGGTGTGCGGGGAGGGGGCTCCCTTTGTCTCGGCCTGTGGCGGCTCATCTCTTCTGGCATCTCTCTTGCCTCCAGCCTGCAGAGGATTTTGGGACCTTCTTCTCCGCAGTAATTGATGCCAAGGTATGGGGCAGGAAACAGGGCGTTCCTGGGGGGCCAAGCCCTGGACCGTGGAGGAGAGGGAGGAAGAGAGAGGGGAGCCCTGACTGGGGGGTGGCCCAGCCCCACTGCTTGGAGCAAGGCAGCTCAGTAGCCACATATAATCCCCCCAGCTCTGGAAAGGGCAGAATCATTCCTAACCAGAGAGGAGGTCATCTCCTGCACACCCTGAACCAGGCTCAGCAAGCCCCTTATAAGTGCACATGCGTGTGCACACGCACATGCACACACACAGGCCGGCCCACGCATCTGCGTGCACACACCCAAGTACACATGTGCGCATGTATGTGCATATCCGTGAGCACGTTCACGTAGACGTCTGTGTAGTCGTACATGCAGGTCTACCCACATTAACACATCCACATGCACTCAGCACACATACGTGCATATACGAGTCTACCCACATGCACGCACGTATACACGGGCATACAGATGCCTACATGCTTAAACGTAAATGCCACATGGCTGTGCATGTGCCCATATATACATTTCTGTGTGTGTGTGCATGTTGATAAGTAAGCATACCTATATTTCTGCCACACACACGCGTGCGTGTGCACACACACATGAGCATGCATGTCTCTGCTTGTCTCTGCTGTGGCTCAGCCAGACCTTGGCATTTGCCCTCAGTATCCCCCTACCACTCCCTGTTTCAGAAGTTGGGCCATTCTGGCAGAGGGGTGGGTGTATTGGGAGGCTGCTGCTGGGGTGACCTCCCAGCCTGTCTTTGACACACATCCCCCTACACCCGCCCCAGTCCTTTGGCCGCATCAAGAAGTGGCTGGAGCATGCACAATCCTCACCCAGCCTCACCGTCCTGGCTGGGGGCAAGTGTGACGACACTGTGGGCTACTTCGTGGAACCCTGCATCATTGAGACAAAGGACCCACAGGAGACCATCATGAAGGAGGTGACTGGGGTGGGCAGCTGGGACGCCGATGAGGACAGCCTCATCTTAGCACAGCACACACACAAGGTATTTGGATGGGGTCTTCTCCTCGAGACATGACCCCATTCACAGATGAGGAAGGTGAGGCCTTAAAAGGGAATGTCTCACATCTGGAGAGAACAGAGCCAGGTCTTGAGCTCAGGCCTCTTGACTCTAAATCCAGTGCTCTGTCCTTGAGCTGCTGACTCTGGCCGGTGTCCTAGCACTTCCACTGCCCACAACAACCACGGCCACCACCGCGATTCTACCAGCTAACATTCACGGACTCTTACTGAGGGCGGCCATAGCTGGGCACTTGACACAGAGGAGGTGGGTGTTATCATCCCCATTTTACAGATGAGAAATGGAGGCTCCAACAGATCAAGGCACTTGCCTGGGATGACAGTGCAGGGGAGGGAGTGGCCAGAGGAGGAGGAGCTCTTCCCCATCCCCTTGATGGCAGGGGGATCAGGAACCCTCCGGGAGGGAGTGTTGTCATCGGGCAGTTCCCATGCCAGCTGCTGCCTGAAACCTCCCATTTCCAAGGACCTGGACCATATGCTCTCTGGGTGTGAGTTTGGCAGGAAGGGCCAGAAAGTTTTTAGATCTTTTGCCAGGTTGGAGTAGGGTGGGCAGGGCAGGGAGCTGGGCACGTTGCTGTCCCTGGACAGAATCCAGGAGGAGGCAGTGCCTGGCCTTTGTTGCAGGGGCTGGGAGAGGGAGGCCAGAGCAGAGAGACCGGGAGGTCTCAGGGCACTGGCCCACGTGGAGGGCCTGACTCCAGTCTCTCTCCCAGGAGATCTTTGGGCCCGTGCTGACCGTGTACGTCTACCCAGATGACAAGTACAAGGAGACGCTTCAGCTGGTCGACAGCACCACCAGCTATGGCCTCACGGGGGCAGTGTTCGCCCAGGATAAGTGAGTGGCTGGCGGCAGCCCCCAGAGCCCTAGTCCTGGTGTCTTGTACCTGCTGGCTCCAGCCCTATCCCCACCTCCTAAGCATGCTTCCTAGTAGTGATGCTGCCCCTGCCTTCTCTCCGTGCACCTCTCCTCAGCCCTGACAGGCAGGCAGGCAGGCAGGCCTGTGCCCCAGCACAGGCATATGCAGGCAGCTAGAATCTTCATTACAAATGCAGGTGCTGGGGCCCCACTGGTGGCCCCTAAGCCTCAATCTCTGTGGGGAGGCCTGGGAATCGGTGCTTTTGACTGGCTTCCCCAGATCTGAGGGGGCCCCTGAGCGAGGTGATTGCCGCATGCTGCAGAGCAGACACGAGGCTCGGGCTGGGCTCACTGCTGGTCATGCAGAGGCAGGATTCGAGCCTGGGTCTCGTGATTGTAAACCTGAGGGTTTGCTTTTCTTCCCTCCATGGCACTGGTTGCCGCCCTGTGTCTGCCTCTAAGAGACAGTGGAGGTGGGCTTGGAACCTGAGAGGAAGCGGGGAGTCTGGGAGTTCCCCCGTTCCTGAGGGACAGGATGCTTGGACCAGGATGGGTCTCTCCCTGGGGTGCAGTCTGACCCTTCTTCCTCCCATTCAGACCTCAAAGCAGCCCTGCAAGGGAGGTGTGCTGAGGCACAGAGACTAGGTCACCCACCCAAGGGCCCAGAGCTAGCAGTTGGTCAGTGCCACATGTCCCAGACTGCCTCCCGCTTAACCTAGAAAGCCAGTGTGAGTGTGGGGGGCAGGGCTCTTGGAGGGGGGTGAGCCAGCTCTTCTCTGACCACTGCACTGCCTTGTAGGGGCGTTGTCCAGGAGGCCACGACGCTTCTGAGGAACGCTGCCGGCAACTTCTACATCAACGACAAGTCCACTGGCTCAGTGGTGGGCCAGCAGCCCTTTGGGGGGGCCCGAGCCTCTGGTGAGTGTGCCCCCATTAAAGAGGGGAGCTGAGTTCCTGGCAGGAGACCCTAGATCCTACTTCTCAAGGTAGTTAAGAGTAATAGGGATGGCATGAGGGACTGACTGAGCACTTAACGGTGGGCCAGGCTAGCATGGTGACTCTGAGTACTCTCAGCAACCTCAAGAGCAGGGGTCCCCATTTTACAGAAGAGGAAACTGAGGCACAGGGTCAGCGACTTGCTCAAGCCCTCATGGCTGGAAGGTGGTGGGGCTCCCGCACCCACACTTGGCACCACCATGCTCAAGATCACTTCAGTCCAACGCCCTCCACTTCACAAATGGGGAAACTGAGGCTCAGAAGGGGCGGCGACTTGCTAAAGATTACTGCTCCCTAGTGGCAGAGCTGGGGCTGAAGCCAAGTGTGGGGGGTTTTCCTACACCCATGACTCTGGCTCTTGACAGACACTGACTGGGAGTCCTACAATTTAACTGAGTTTTGATATTAACTGCCTGTGGTTAGTGCAGACCCCACAGGTTAAGGGCTCAGTCCCATAAGACTGCTCCCCACTTCAGATGCCAGTTACAAGTAGTGGGTCTGCAGGTTTCCCCCACTTCTGTCTGACCTGGCTACAAGTCAGAGGATCCCATGACCCCCTTGTCAGGTTCAATAATTTGCCAGAACAGCCCTCAGAACCCAGGGAAAATTCACTTACTATTACCCATTTATTACAAAGGATATTTTAAAGGCTACAGATGAACAGCCAGGTGAAAAGGTTCATAGGGTAAAGTCTGGAAGCATCCCAAGCACAGGAGCTTCTGTCCCCGTGGAGTTTGGGGTTTGCCACCCTCCTTTTACGTGGATGTGGTCACCAACTAGGAAGCTCTCCAAATCCTGTCCTTTAGGGTTTTTATGGAGGCTGCTTTACTGGGGCTTTTGTGATTAAGTCACTGGCTATTGGTGATTGGCTCAACCTCTAGCCCCTCTGCCCTCCCAAGAGTTGGGGTGGGGGCTAAAAATTCCAACCCTTTAATCACAGAGTTGGCTCTGGCAACCAGCCCCCATCCTGCTGGAGTCACCTCATTAGCATAGTCTCTGGTGTGGTTGTAGGGGCTTATTGTAAATGACAAAAGATGCTCTTCTAACCTGGACCACTTGGGAGCTCTGGCTGGAATGAGATGAAGACCAGAGGTGTCACAGGGTAACCCCAGGACCCTGCCTCCCAGATAACCCTTGCTGGTGGGGCGCAACAGCTGTCCCAGCCCCTCGCACCTTTGCAGACTGCAGGGTCTCCTGCTGCCCCCCAACTCCTCTGCACCCCAGGCTGGGCACCTCCGTGAGGCAGGCTGCCATTTGCTGCTTGCTGGTGCTCCAGTTGTTCAACCCCTCCTCCCCACTCTTCCCCTTCTGCTCAGAGCTGTTGTATCTTTTGGGAGAAAAACAGAACTGTCTTTTCCACAGGCACCAATGACAAGCCAGGAGGCCCCCACTACATCCTGCGCTGGACGTCACCCCAGGTCATCAAAGAGACCCTTGAGCCCCTGGGGGACTGGCGCTACTCATACATGCAGTGAGCCTACTTGTGCCTCCACCGTCCACCTGTGTGTCTGTCCAGACGACGGACCTGGCTGCACTGGCCCCACCCAGCCCCTCCACCTGCTCCTCATGGACGGCCCCATTTCTAGACTAAGGCTTGGCCCTTCCCCACCCTGGCCTGTGTGCCAGCTTCTCTCATCCATCTGTGTCAGGTGTCCAGAGTCTGGTTTGAGATCATGTTGGGGAGGAACAGGGCTGTCACCCCTTATCATATTGACCATCCTAGGAATTCTACCTGGTGGGTATGGCCTTGGTGCCTGGCAGGTTCTTTACTCATCCGTTTCTCTCTCCCCTACCCTGGGGCCCAGTGGCTCAGGAACGTGGGGAATGAAGATGGAGAAGCTCTTGGGATCCTCTGGGGAAAAGCAGGCAGCTCTGGGCCCCTTGGCAAACCTCACCACTCACAGAGGCTCCTGGCCTTGGCTCTGTCTCCTGCAGGTATCCAGGTGATGTGTGACCCAGGTGGCCTGCAGGGCACACACGGTACCAGGCGGCCTTGCCTCTTTGGTCTGGGCTGCCCACGTTCCCCATTCTATCTGTGCCTAAATACACCTGAGCCAGTGGGTACCTGCACCCAACCATGTGCCTTAGATGCTGCGTGCCTTTCTCCAGGTGCCTGCGTTCACCTGAGGCCCTTGTGATTCTGGGCTGCCTCCACATGGCAGGGCTGGGGGCTGCTGGAGGCTACGGCCAAGGTGTGAGATGAGTGGTCCTTCTATTTGGGCTGTGGTTTTGGAAGACCTTGGGTGGCCTTTGTTCTGTGTGGCTTCCCTTAGCTCTACTGGTCTTACCTGAATGTCCCCTCCCAAAACCTTTGTCAGGGCCTGGGCTTTCCCTGCAGGAGCTCCGTGCCTACCGGGCTGTGGTGGACAGGCCCAGACAGATGTTGCCCTCCCTTCTCCCAGTCCCCCGAGACCTGGCCTTGGGTTCCCATCAGCCTGGGCCGAGCATGCTGCCTGTAGAATCTTCCCTTGTTACATGTAAGCAGCTCCTGGTGGACTGGCCCCTCCATGGCCTGTTCTTTGGCACAGCCAGTCGGTGGCCACGGGCAGATTCCTTCTGGTCTCATTCTGGGTGGTCAGGGATCTATGAGTTTGACTTTCAAGGATGGTTTTTACAGCACTGTGAAAGTGCTGGGTCCTCCTCAAGGTTAGCTGCATGGGGCCACCACGGAGCTGGTGTGGCTGTTCCCCAAATGCTGTGTTCCACACTGTGGCCCACAGTCGGGTGGGTGCCAGTGCTGCCTGGGCCGGGGGTGGGTTCTTCTTCTTTCCAGGATCTGTGTCGTTTGCCATGAGGAGCCAGTGTTCCCGGTTCTGCACTGTGAGGTGGCAATGGGATTTGCCCTGATGCCACCCAATAAAACACCTGTTACTTAACCAAAGCAGTGGTCCTTCTGGTGGGGGTGGTGGGGGCTGACCGACTTCTAAATCTGATGGCATTGCCAATGTGTTGTCAGGCGGCAGGGTGCAGCACCCTCGATATGAGGGAAGGAAGGGTGGGCCTGCTGTTTGGGAGCACCTCTAGAGGCGGTGGGAACTCTGGAGTCAGATGGGCTGGGTTCAAATCCTGGCTCTTCCTCCCAGCTGGGTAATCTCTAAAAAGTTACTTAACCTCTCTGATCTTCTGTGTCTTCATTTTTAAAATGGGGATGCTCTCCCCTCCCCTAGGTTATCATGAGAATTAAATGAGTTAATTCATATAAATGCTTAGAGCAGTGCAGATCCATAATGAGATTCAAAAATGTTACCCATTTACCCCTTTTTGTAACAACCACTATCATGTGCTGGGATGGTTAATTTTATGTCAACTTGGCTGGGCCATGGTACCCATATATTTGGTCAAACACATTCTGGACGTTTCTGTGAAGATATTTTTAGATCAGATTAACATTTAAACCAGTGGACTTTAAAAAGTAAAGCAGTGGCTACACAATGGAATACTACTCAGCTATAAAAACGAATGAAATACTGCCATTTGCAACAACATGGATGGACCTTGAAAAAATAATATTAAGTGAAACGAGTCAGGCAGAGAAAAAGAAATACCACATGTTCTCACTTATTTGTGGGAGCTAAAAATAAATAAATTAATTCACTCACATACATACACACACACACAAAAACAAACAAACAAACACACACACACACACACACTCTCACACACACACAAACAAACAAACAACAACAACAACAACATCAACAACAACAACAACAAAAAACCGGCGGGGGGGAGAGGAAGATATAACAACCACAACTTTTTTTTTTGAAGTTCTTACAACAAGAAAATGGAGGGGACACACCTGGGTGGGAGCGGGGAGAGGGAGGAGGGAGGGAGGTTTTGGTGATGGGACACAATAACTAACTACATTGTATATTGACAAAATAAAAAAAAAATAAAAAAAAAAAAGTAAAGCAGTGGCCGGCCCCGTGGCGCGCTCGGGAGAGTGCGGCGCTGGGAGCGCAGCGACGCTCCCGCCGCGGGTTCGGATCCTATGTAGGAATGGCCGGTGCGCTCACTGGCTGAGCGCGGTGCGGGCGACACCACACCAAGGGTTGCGATCCCCTTGCCGGTCACGAAAAAGACCAAAAAAAAAAAAAAAAAAAAAGTAAAGCAGATTTCCCTTTGTAATATGGGTGGGCCATGGTCAATCAGTTGAGGGCCTTTTAATAGAACAGAGAAGGCGCCCCCAGTGGGAAGGAGCTGATACTCTTCCTGGGTCTCCAGCCTGCTGCCCGCCCTGCAGGTTTGGGGCTTATTAAACCTCCCCCATCACAGGAACCAATTTCTTAAACTCTCTCTCTCACTCTTGCTCACTGTGTGCATGCACGTGTGCGTGCATGCATATACACACACGTGCATCCTGTGGGCTCTGTTTCTCTGGAGGACCTGGACTAGCCCATGTGCCGAGGACTCTGCATGTGCTTTCTCACGATAGCCATGCTCCCATTTTGCAGATGAGGAAAGTGGGGTGCAGAGAGGTCAAGGGACTTCCCGAGGGTGTGGTATTGCTGGGATGTGAACCCAGGTCTGTCTGATGCCCAAACCCATTCTCTCCTTCACCCAGATCTCCACACATGGTGCTGGACTGCCTCGGAAAGACCCGCCCAGTGGCCAAGGGATGATGTGGGTGCTGGGGAGAAGCTGGGCCAGTTAGCTGGAGCCCACGCAGGCCAGCTGACTTTTGGAGGGGGAAAATGGATGTCCTGGGCTGTCTCCACCTGCAGATAACATAAGGGTGGCTGTTCCCTAAGCCACATTGACAGCTCCCCTTCTGAGGGCCCTTGCATCCGGGCTGTCAGCATGGAGGCTCTCAGAGCTGTGGGGAGGCAGGTGGGGACCTCACCACTTGCTGGAGTCCCGCACCCCATGTCACTCAGTAGCTACCACTGATTTGTGCAAGAGGGAGCTTGACTCTAGGCAAGGAGCACGTGGTGGCTGTGCCCAGGGACAAAGCACAGTACCCAGAGTGCCCAGGGAAGGGTGGCAACTGCACTTGATAGCTGAGGGGTGTTTAGGCTCTGCTAACGCTTATGAATGAATGGTATGACTGCCTCAAGGTCACACTGAGACGGTAGCAGCGTTGGCCAATTACTGGCTGAGTGCTTTACCTACCTAGTCTCACACAGCCTTGACAGTGACCTTACCTGGTAACTGGTACCTGACTTCTGTGGCAGGGCTAGCTCAAGGTCACGTGGCTGGTTTGGAGGAAGGCTGGGGTTTGCACAGTCTGCGGGTGCCCATAGCCCCTGCTCCTTGCACCTGTGCCATCAGGCCCCTGACTTCCAGTTCTTCCTCTCCCGCTGTCATTTTGTCCTGCTCTTCCCCACCCTGGCACCTTGGCCTCTTTCTTAACTCGGGCAAGGGGTGACTCAAAGCCATTTCTCATTCTGTTCCCTCTGCTGTCCTTCAACCCCCAGACTTGGGGCTAGTGGCTCTTGAGGGCCCAGTGCCTGTTCGGGGACCTGAGGCCTCTTTGCATGGTCACCACAATAACTCCCCGTGTCTGCGGTGGCCCAAGGAGCACCTTCATTTCCCTGCTGTGGCCGGGGGCCCAGCCGCAGCTCTGAGTTTGGAGCGTGAACCATTTGACTGAGGCCGGACGTTGCTGCCACCTCTGTCTCGCAGTGCCAGTCGGGCATGCACCTTAAGGAAATGAAGGGCCACCTGTGCCGGCTCATTGCCACCAGGTGACCTGGAGCTCCTGGGGGGCTGGAGGAAATGCCGGGGAGCAGACCCAGCCTCTTCACAGAGGGTCTTCATCTTCATCAGTTGATTGTGATCCCTGTACGTTCTCAGAGGCCAGACTAGTAACTAGTAACAGCTGCCATTACTTGAACGCAGCCTGTGTGCCAGGCATTGTGCTAGATGCTTTAGATGTCATAGCCTCGGATCCTCACAGCAACCCCATGGAGTATGTACTGCTACTCCCATTTCACAGATGAGGAAACTGAGGCACAGATAGGTTGAGTAACTAGTACACTAGTAGGAAATGACTGAACTGGGTTTCAGTCCCACTGACTGCCAGCCTTTGCTCATAACCACTGAATAGACCTGGGGCCAGACAGTCTTGGGCTCAAATCCCAGCCTTTTCCCCTCTTACCTGTGCCTTGACCTCCCAGCCTCAGATCTGACATGACTCAAGGAGCTGAGGATCAAGTGAAATACTGAAGTTGGCACCTGCTCCTCCAGCCAGGGCAGCTGCCAGCAACCTGGGCGAGGGAGGACAAGGCTGGCTGGTGGTTTGGAGCTAGTGCCATATCCCACCTGCCACCAACCACCCAGAGGCTGCTGGATCCCCGTGACAGACCAGGCTGGTGTGGTCCACGACAATCAGGGGGAGCACCTGGCCCCTTACTAGGTGCTCAGTGAAATCCAGCTTTTCCTCCTTCCCAGGTGCACATACATCCAGAATGAAGTGCTGAGGTTGAAAAGAGCAAGTTCTCACTGAGCACCTGGCTCTGCCGGGTCATGGGACAGGGCAGGCATCACTATGAAGAGAGTGAGGCTCAGGGAGGGAAATGCCTGGAAGAAGCCACACAGCCAGCAAGGGGCAGAGCCAGGATTGGAACCCCAGTCAGTCAAGAGTCACACACGGTCTAGACCCCCCCCCTTTTACTGGGGCCAAAATGGAGGGCCCCATGCCAGGAACGAAGCCATCAACATGTAGTGTAGCATTTGCTATCAATTCTCGAGCAGGTGCTTGACGTGTTAATGTCATGTAATCATCGTTTGAGGGTGGCTGTGGCCGCTTTACATTCTCATTCATTCATCCACCCAGAAGGCTGCTGGACTCCTGTGAGGGCCCAGGACAAGGGTGTGCTGGTGTGGCCACCAGGAATGAGTTCGGTCTTGCCTCTGCCCCTTCCTGAGTGGGTCTCCCTCCACCTCCCTGAGCCTCGTTTTCCTCATCTGTGAAATGGGGCTAAGACAGTACCACCTCCCTCACAGGCTGGTGCGGTCCTAGATGAGGTGAGGAAGCTGAGAGGACTCAAAGCCTGCAGGTGGCCCCTGTCCACTGGTCCAGGCTGGGCCCTCTGGAGCCCCTCACAACAGGACCACCCTCCGCCCCATCCCAGCCCTTTATGTCCCCGTCAGGAGCTCTTTGAGCCTCTTCCTCCCCAGGCTGAACATCCCCAATTCCTTCAGCTACTCCCTGTGGCGTGTGGTTTCTGGATCTATGTCCACCTCGTGACCTCCTCTGGTGATGCCGAGGAGAGCAGTCTAGAGTCATCCTGAATTGGGATCCTGGCTGTGTGACCTGACTGAATCACATCACCTCTTGGAGCCTCAGTCTCTTGTGCAACATGGAGATATAATGAAAAAGTACTCATCGCTTACAGTTGTTAGGAGGATTGAGTGATCTAATACATGAAAATGAACTTAGTCCTAGGCCTGGTGGCCAGGGAGGGGTCAGTCAACACAAGTCACTGCTTTTACAGTCATCCACCCATGTGAGGTCTGATCACCACATCACGTGGCAGGATTGTCACCTCCCTTGTTCTGGACAGTCTTCTCCTTTTGATATAACCTTAAGTTTAAGATGGCTTACACTAATGCAATGGAAAGATTGGAAGGATTACAAGTTCTGGAGTGCAACAAAACTGGATTCAAAGCCCAGTGACCTTGGATAAGCCATTTAGCCTTCTGAGCCTTGGTTTTGTCATCTGTACAATGGGGATAAAGCCCTTCACAGAACTGTGGTGGGCAGATGCAAAGAGGTCTGAAAGCACAGGAGGGGCTCCATAAAGTCTGCTTCCTTTACTTTAGGGCTTAGTGACTATCACCCTTTTGGCTCTTATTGACCTTATGGTCATTTGAAAACTCCAGATCTTTTTCTGGTTGAAATACATCCTACTTGAGGTCACCCAGCAAAATT